TTCTGAGACCCACCCCAGACTACTGAGTCCAAAACTCTGGAGCTGGGACCCAGAAATCTGTGTTTTAAGAAGCCCTTCTGGTGATTCTGATGAATATGGAAGTTCCTCAGATCTTGTTATTGTGATAAGCAATAATTCAGTCTCAATTTCAAGCATCCTACCCTCCCTGTGGCTACTGCCGTCTGTCTTTCTAGCTTGCCTGATCTACTCCCCCAACTCCAAAATCCTTTAGCCCCACTGAGACCACAACTTACTGATTCTACCACTTTTTCACTAGTCCTTACCCATCTTATGTCCTCATTTTCCTCTTATCCAGCCACACATTAGACTAATCTTTGACTGTTCTCTTTCACATACCATATCCAAAAAGCATACAAATTCTGTCAGCGCTCCCTTCAAAATGTATCTAGAATCTAACTTTTCTTACAGCCTCCACTTCAACCTTTCCAGTCCAAGAGCAATCGTTTTCCACCTGGAATATCGTGACTATTCTTACTTTGTCAGTCCTTGCCCTTACTGTATCCACTTTCCACACAGCAGCTAGAATGATCCTTTTAATACCCAAGATTATGATGCTGCACTGCTCAGAATTCTCCATGCTTCTCCTCTCTCTCAGAGAAAAAGCCAAAGTCCTTGTAAATGCCTACAAGGCTCTGGGTGACCTGACCCTCCCTGGCCAGCAAGTCATTTCTTGTACCTTTGTCCTCCCTCTGAGCTTCATTTTTATCCTTAGATTTTATTGCCACTTGACATACTCTGAATTCTCTTGTTTATTTCTATCTCCCAAAATTAGAGTGGAAGCTTCATGAGGACAGAGGCTTTCTTGTTTACTGACAGAGCTCAGCTTCTAGAAGCCTGCCTGTCAAATACTAGGCATGCAATAATTTGTGAATAAATGAATGGATGCCATTGTTATCTAGACGGCCTGAGGCTAACATCACCCTTTTATTCATTCATCAAATATTTGATCATCTATTACATGCCCTGCACTAAAAGAGAAAGAACACGGAGAAGAATTCCAGAGGGTTTCCAGTCCGATAGGGGAGAACAAATAAATAAATGTAAAATTACAACAGTGTAAGGATCAAGACTGGCAAGTGAATGCACTTGTAAGGACAACTCGTAAGGGGTAAATGACCTAGCTAAAGTCACATAGCCAAGGAGGCCATGGCAGTCTTCTCCAAGGAAGTGATGAATAAGGTGAGATCAAAACACAGAGTAGAGGTTAATTGGGCCAAGTGGCTGTGGAATGTGTGCATGGGCAGAGAGAGGGGAGAGCAAGTGCAAGGGTCCGGTGGTAGAGGGAGTGTGGTGAGTTAAAGGAACTGAATGGAGTAGACGGAGGCTTGAGGGAGCATGGTAGAAAAGAAGGTTGGAGATTTTTCAAATATTCTATCTCTTTATTCCACCTAATGAAAAACGTTTTTAAAAAGTTCTACTTTATTCGATAGAAATCCCCATTCTGATTTATGAATTTGTATCAAATTACTACCTAATTTGTATATACTTCGACTCTAGCTTCATAATTATCATATTAAGTGTACCCAAAAAGAAAAGAGAAATGGGAAAATGAATACATGTTCTGGTGAAAAGTTGGCCTTATTGACTTGTGTTTAAAAAGACCTCAATTTATAGTACCAGAATGTCTATGAAATGGAACTTTCTGATTAATTTAGTTTTCATTACTATTGTTGTTAATTTTATTCTTAAGACTCAGTTATTTTGCTTAAAGCTTTTTAGAAAATCTTTAAAAAATAATTTTAGCCTCTTTCCTGCCTTATTAAGAGGATTGTGTCTCAAAGACATGTCATATGTCCTTTTACACATATGTTTTTAAAGCCGACGAGACTTTAACTACGATGTGCTCACCCTCACACGCCCCAAATGACTGTTTCCCATTTCCACAAACTTCTGCTGTTCCCCCATGGCCATGATGTAGGAAGAGGGGGAAATAAAAGTTGGTTTTTATGATAACATTTGGGGGAGCCATTTGGTGCCTAGACACCTTCCTTACCGGGTCTCCCCCTGCTTGAGAAATGTAGCAGGGTGTTCCAGCAAATTTACCAGGAAAGGTAAACTTAATTTGGATATTTAGTCTGACTCTTGGGCTCTGGGGTTGAGAACAAGTTTCTTGTCCTTGTCATGTTTTAATAAAAGTGAGCCCTAGATTTATCTGCTTAGTCCTTCCTGGTTAAAGGGCAATAATACTGTCCTTTACGACAGTTCTTTTTTTTGAACCTGATCCAGAATCACACACTGCCTTTAGTTGTCATCTCTTTAGTCTGGAACAGTAGCTCAGCTTTTCTTTGTCTTTCATGGCCTTGACATTTTTGAGTTTAAGGTAGTTATTTTGAGAATGCCCCTCAACTCAGGTTTGTCTGAGCATTTTGTGTTAGATCCACATTACGTAGTTTGGCCAGGAATGCCGTGGATGTGATGTGCCCTTCTCTGTGCTGTGTAACACACATCACGAGGCCTATGTGTCCATTCGTACCATTCAGGGCATTGTTAACTTTGATCACTTGCCTAAGATGGTGTCTGCTGGACTTTCCTACTGTAAATGTATCTTTTACCCTTTGTAATGAGAGCGATAATGAGGGACAGAGTTTAAGAATAAGTAAATATTTTGTTTCCCAACTGACTGTCACTGATAGTTTTAGCATCTATTGCTGATTCTTGCCTGAATCCATTATTATAACGATGGTTGAAAATAGTAATTTTTCTAACTCTGTAATTTCTTGCGTATTTATGAATTATCATTCTGCTATAAGACAGAGTTTTCCCTTCTCCCCCTTAGTATGATATATTACTATCTTGAGTCCATTTGGTATCGTCCCATGTTTGGTCAGTGGGAGTCCCAAGATATTGGGTCTTTTATCAGAATTTTTATGTATAAATGATATAAAAAATAGTTAATAGAAGCACATAGAGGAAAGTGGCAGCGAGAAGCCAGAGAGGTGAATTCTGTCAGTGATTGTGAAAAGCTTCAGTGAGACAGTGGTATTTAAAGTGAGCTTTGAAAAAAATGGTAGAGTTTTCACAGAAGTAGTGATAGGGTGGAGTGGAAAGGGAAAACCATCTGAACAAAGGAAGGCCTGGCACTCCTGGCATTTGGCAATTAATACAGTGGGTCCAAGGAGCATGAGGCAGAAACCTCTGCACTTGCTCAGCTTGTGCTTTTGCCCATGCTGGTCTCACGGCTTTGAATTTCTTCCCTTGCCCCGCCCTTGCTGTTTTGCTAAGGGGTAGGATGAGGGGTGAGGGGGAGGGAATTCTAAGTAGTTGAAAACAGCATGAACCACAAGCCCCGCTCCAATACTCCCTTCTCCAGGAAGGCTTTTCCAGACCCCTAATGAGAATTAACCACCCTCTTCTGTACACTCCCATGGTGCCTTGCGCCTCTCTTTTAACAAGTCACTCTGTCTGGTGCTGTGTCTATTTGTGGAGACGTCTTCCTCCTTTAAAGCATGAACTGCATCTTAATTGCTTTGCCCCTCTTCCCAGTGCTCAGCACAAATGCTCAATAAATGTTTCTTGAGTATGTGAGAGAGAGGAAGAAGAAAGGTTGAAGGAGAAAGGTAGGTTGGAGTTGTTTGGGGGAGGGCTCTGAATATCATTTTAAGAGGCTCGGGCTTGCTCTGCAGGCAGCGATGAGCTTTGGCAGCTTTTGAACACTGTGGGGCTCATCAGAGCTGTGATGCCCAAGGATGCGGTGGAAGGGTAGGTGCCCACGCAGTGGCCCCCAAGAACACTAAGCCTGAGGGCGACAGCCAGGAAAGGCAGAAGCAATGGAAGCAAATAGTTATCATCTCATGAATCTGGGCAGTCATTTGAGTGTAGGCATTGGAAAAAAGGAAGGAAATGAGCACGGTTTTGGGGTTTCAAGACTGGGTGATTAGGACACTGACAGAGGCCCCTTACCAAAATAGGGAGCCCAGGGGCGATTACCAAGAATATAAAGAGTTTCTCTCTCTCTCATCCAATACTCACTCTGAATTCAAACCGGAATGTGCTGTTGAAAGATTTTATTATATCAAATGTGATGAGAAGTGAAATATTGTCTCTATTTGAGGCACAAAATAGTAACTTTGGTGTAATGGGCATTTTTCATTTGGCTTTAGTAACAGTTTTATTAAAAACGGATGTTAGTAGCTGCCTTTTTAACCTTGAAATGGGGCCCTGTGAGAGCAGCTTTCCATGAAAGAAACCGTCGTCAGCTTTCTTTTGGCTCCTCTGTCCCTCCTGCCCCTTCCTAACAACAGAAAATTTGCTTTGCACCTGCTCCAACTGGGTTCTAAGTGATAAGCATCTTGCAAGCCCAGAAAATTGTAGTATCAAATCTCAGCCCCAACTGTGAGGCAGCACCATCATCAAATTCTGGCTGAGAGGCGTTGCTTTCCAATTCCCAGGGGAAGAGTCCTTTTTCCCCTGGCCCAACCTAAACCCTCTGTTGAGGCCCCAGCATGCATTGCTCTGGGTGCTGGCCCTGACCCGGCCCCGCTTACACGTCTCCACTGTGGGCTCATCCACAGGTCAGGCCTGGGTAGCCCTGGGGTCAGTGGAGTGCCCAATTCTAATAATGAGCACATTTATCTAAGGAGAGAAAATGGACCTTTCTATTTGTCACAGTTCACTGCTTTTTTCCCCACAAACAAATGCTAAAGGAATATTGGATATATTATCTATGATTTGGTAAATATATATAAATCTTGCCTAATACTCATGAAGTTGCTTTCATTCACATTTTCGTTCATAAATAAAATGTTTTGTTATAACTTATTATTTATTTTAAGAAGGATGTACCTTTCTAGCTGAGAGGAAAATGTAAATATTTTAAAATAATGGTGTATTCAGGAAAATTCTTGTAATTTCAAATAAAAATAGAAAATGCTATTTAAGTGAGTGTATAGCATTCTAACTGGACTTGGCGTATGGTTTTAAAGGGAAAGAAAAACTACTGATAGAGACTTTATAACTTTGTCTTTATGTTTTCCTCTTAGGTTTTTCAAATAGACCAAAGTCGTTAAAAATACTCCTTAACCCCCAAAGCCACAAAAAAGAAGCTACTCAGGTCTATTACAAGAAGGTTGAACCACTGTTGAAGATTGCAGGAATAAAGACTGATGTGACAAGTAAGTCATTTGCAGAATATTATTTTGCCACTTAAAAAAAAAAAATCATACTTAAGGAAGTAAAATGACCTGAATTTGTTCTTAATCTAAATTTAAGAAGATGCCTGTAATATCTAAAGCTTTTTTATAGTTCTGTAACCCGCTGCAGCCAACTACAGGATTATAATTTAATTATTGTTTTCTTTTTTTATTGTGTAGTTTTTGTTAGAGTATCAATATTTTTCTCTTTAGACCATTTTTTCAGACTTTAAAAATTATTAGGCATCATTTTAAAGGTAGCTGCACATTTTTTGACGTCTTCATTGAGATGTTTGCTATTTACACATTATTTCTGCAGTTTGGCAAGCAATTGCTTTTTGCTCCCTTAAATGTTTGATGTCTTTCCATGGAATCCTTCATTAGGTGGTTTTTGTTCTGACTCTGACCCCTGCTGGTTAGGTCAAAACTAAGCACTTACCTCCTGGTTTTAGATGAATTTAGAGAAGCCAGAAGCTTAACTTCATTGTCTAAAATAAGAAAGGTGTTTATGTTTGTGCCGACAAAAATACAAATTTGCTAAAGCTAAATTTCATACAAAGATCAGTAAAATCCTTTTTAACTTTTGAGTTTGGTGACCAAATTTCTTTGTTTCCTTGAGACTAATTTTTCCCACAGGGGTGGACTGAGAAGGAAAGTTGAAGCTATGGAGAATCATGCCCTCAGTTTTTCTGGTCTTATTTCTACGTAGCTTCACTAACACACAGTGTAAATTTGTAGTCAATTTTAATTGATGAAGAGTATTCATATTAGTCTACTCAGGAGACAAGGCCAGAGTGCACTTGGCATCTCTTAGTCCTGATTGTAAATTTCTGGGGAAAGGATTCAGTGACCTGGCTTTGCTCAGCTATAACCAAGGGAGATGGGTGTCACTATGTAAATAAGGTCATTGAAGCCCTCATCTCGTTACTTGATGGACTGGGGTAGAAGGAAGTTCTTAAAATAAATTTTTTAAAGGCAATCTTTGTGGGAAGGTCAGCCACCCCAAAAGATATCTACTACAATGGAAGTTCAAGAGAAACTACCACGAAAAACTCAAGAGGAATTTCTGAATTAAAATAAAATTGTTGTGAAGGAGTTAACCTTTCATCTTTGGGATTTTTGGCTTACTTAAAGGTGATTTATAACACAAAGAAACAATTCAGAGCTATCATTCCTTTTCACTGGAGATTTTCCAAGATTGGCAGAAGGAACAGTTTGAAATTTGTATTAGGATAACCAAAATTGAATAAACTTATTGGCAAACTCAGTAACATTATTTTGTTTCATTGATTTAATATCCAGAACAGTTTCACATGGATGTTACTATATGCCCTTCAGTTCAAGAAACTTTTGTTGAATGCCTTATGTTAAGCAATATGCATAATACAAGATGAATAAGCTGTACCACCTGCTCTCGAGTGACCTTTAATTTATTAGGGATTCAAGTACAGTCATAGGTCACTTACCAATGGGGATACGTTCTGAAAAATGCCTTGTTAGGTCATTTCATCCTTGTGTGGACATGATAGAGTGTACTTACACAAACCTAGATGGTGGAGCCTACTACACACCTATGGTGTGTGGGACTAATCTTAAAACAACACCATTGTATAAGTCATCTGTTGTTGACTGAAACATTGTTATGTGATGCATGACTGTAGATATTTAAAATAAATATAATTTGGATAGGCATAAAAGAACTATGGTGTCTCAGAGAGTGACATTAATTTTGATCAGAAGACTCAAGATAATTATTTGAACTAGAAACTTGAACTGGACAGTTTTGGAGAGTCAGAGAAGGCAAGAAAATGGTTTTCTGTGCATTATCAGAAGAAAAGTGAGGGAAGGAAGACAAGCTAGTGAACACAAACAAGTGTAGGGGGGGTGTGTATGTGTGTGTTGTACCCATATCATCTTGAGAGTTCTTTCATAGCTGCTCTAGTTCCCTCAGTTTTGACTTCATATTAAATCTGGTCCTTTCCATCATCGTAAAATGGTTGCCAGTGGATTGGATCCTTCTTTATTCCCATCTACTGTGGTGGGGAGAAGTGTGTGTAGGTGAGAGAGAGACCCAACATGCTCTAATCCTGAACAAGGATTAACATTTCTTCCTTTCAGTTTGACTGTCATAGTATGTATGCCCAACCTGGAGCAATCACTCTCTTAACTATCAAGACCCTTCCCATGGGCTGAGGGTAGGACCCCTCAACCTTCCTAGAGGCTGAGGATATCAGAACTGAATTTGGGTTCTATTAGTGAGAAAAAAGGGCAAAAGGGCTCTGGGAAGGTTCCCAACAATGTACTATAGAGGAAATTTGAGTCCAGATTATGGAGGGATCTTTATGCTCCACTCAGGAGTTTGCTCATGCACTGATCCCAAGTTAGTGTAAAGTTTTTATCATAGTGCTGTAATCTGGTTTAGCAAAGATGATTCTGCCAGTAGAATAGCGATTAGGAAGAGAGAGAGATTGGAGGAAAGGAAACCGGTAGAGGAGGCCTCACCTAAGGTAGAGTAAATGATAGGAATGTGCTTTCTTTCTTAAAACACTTGTATTGGAGAGAAAAATATTATGTTCTAGGACCTTTTTTCTAAATCTGTAAATGTTGTTATATTTAGTTTAACATAAAATTAGAATATTACATAAAGCAAATTTAGAATTTACTTATGTATTTGTGCAGAATGGCTAATTATTAGGTGCCTAACACTCCTCCTACAGGCAAAATTATAAAATTGCATCTTTTGCTTATAAAACCATTTTAGTATGTATATTGGCTAAGTATTCAGATAAAAAATATTTCCTATTTTGTGTGAAGGACTGAATAAATGTGTGGATACTTGAAAAGTTTTAGAATCTTACTGCCTATCTCACAGTATAGTTTCGAAGTTTGAAAAAGGTAATATATTTGAAACTAGCTTGTATATCATAAAGTGCTATAGAAAATGGTCATACTGCTGCTGTGCATTTCATTTTCATAAATTGTGAAATGTTAAGATTCAATTTACATTTTGAAAGAAAAGTATCTTATATGAAAGAATAAGGAAGAAAGCATACATATTTTCTGCATGTCCAGGATGACCATTGTTTTAATGTATTTTGTGTGCATTGCTGAATCCAAATGGAGTATGAATTACATAATAAATCCTATATGATGATGAATTCATTAGAAGAGAGTGCTATATAAATGAGGCATGATTTTAAAAATTGTAGCTATATATATATATTATAAAGTAGTTTTTCCTATAAATTTCATTTAAAAATGGCAAACAAATCAACAGTCTGATTAAAAAATAGGCAGAGAATCTGAATAGATAATTCCCCAAAGAAGACATATGGGTGGTCAACAGGTACATGAAAAGGTGCTCAAATCACTAATCACCAGGGAAATGCAAATCAAAACCACCATGAGCCATTCTGAGTAACCAGAATGGCTACTATCAAAAAGATGAGAAATATCAAGTACTGGTGAGGATATGGAGAAAAGGGAACCCTTGTGCACTGTTGGTGGGAATGCAAATTGGTGCAGCTACTGTGGAAAACAGTGTGGATGTTCCTCAGAAAATTAAAACTAGAACTGCCATATGATCCAATTTCACTTTTGGGCATTTATCTGAAGGAAACAAAAACAGTGACTTGAAGAGATCTCTGCACCCCATGTTCATTGCAGCACTATTTACAACAGCCAAGACGTGTAAGAAACCTGGGTATCTATGGATGGCCGAATGGATAAAAAGGATGTGGCACACACACACATGCATACACATATACACATACACACCCTGGAATATTATTCAGCCATATAAAAGAAGGAAATCTTGTCATTTGTGACAACATAGATGGACCTTGAGGGCATTGTGCTAGAAATAAGTCAATAGAGAAAGATAAATACCATATGATCTCACTTATATGGGGAATCTAAAAAAAACCCAAAGAAGAAAAAAACCAAAACATAGAAACAGAGAACAGATTGGTGGTTGCCAGAGGTCGGGGGTGAGGGTGGGCAAAATGGATGAGGTACAAACTTCCAGTTAAAAAAAAGAATCTCACCACATTAATAAAAATATATTCTTTCATTTTGATTAGTGCTGAAACCCTAACTACTTCTGAAGATAGATCAGCATCGTTTGAAATAGTCGAGTTAAAGTTACATCCCCCCTCTGCTACCACCTCCAATGCAGTATCTGATGTAGTAATGGGATCAGAAAAACTTCTAGGAGAACCTAGAAAGAACTGAGTTATTTTTCCGTAATGACTTGTTGGTGTACGAATCAAAGATCATGAATGGTAAGCCCATGCTGGCATATGACACCATTTCTTTCTCTTCGTCCTCAAACAGAGTGGACTTTTAGGAATTACACTATTTAAAGGTGTGAGAAGAATTTTGAGAGATCGTAGATTCATAGGATAATTCATAAGACAATAAAGTGAAAGTCAAGGCAGGAGAGAAATCAAACTGGAGAGAACTTTAGAGGCCATCTAGGTCAATTTGCCCCATATGGTGGAGTGCAGGTGTGTGGCACTCCTCATGGATGACCACTCAGCCTTGGCGTGGGCACCGTGTGGGACTCAGTGTGTGCCTTTACTGGGCAATGTTGATAGACATTCTTATCTTGAGTTCAGGGTCGCTGTGCCCTTATGCCTATTAGACAAAGGCCCCTCCTTTGTGCTGACTTACAAAAAGGTGCCCTTCCTTCTGGACTGATTCAGCCCAAGGTCACCTAGCATGTTGAACAGGAGTACAGGCTGGATTGAAACCTGCCTGCCCCTTTGGCCAAATGCCTTTGTGCGAGGTGACAGCTGCATGGAGAACTTCTGAGCTGAAGTTTACCTCCTTGTAATTTTTAGAGTTGATGCTATCTTTTGTAGTAATACAAAATCAACGAAATAAATGTGTCCCATCTTGCATACAAGAGTCATTAAGATATCTGAAAATAGATATCATGTCTGCCCTCGATCTCTCTTATTCATGATAGGCAATTCCATCCCTTTCAGTCAATTTTTGTATTAACAAAACTGCTAGACCTTATCATGCTCGTTATCATTAGCATGGTCAGAGACACTTCTCTGAATGCAGCCTTGATCTCTGCTAGCTCAGAGCACATGGGAGTGCCTTGTCACCAGCTAATTTTACCTCCTGTCTGGCCCTGGGCAGAAGTGTCAAAAAAGTGGGGTTTGTTGTCACTTTCTTCTTTTTTCTCCTTCTAGAATCATGTCTAACTTTTGATGCTTTTATTAAATCTCCTCTTTGAATCATTTATCTTTGGCTCTTTATGTCTCTACTTGAAGCCCTTCCTTCCTTGGAAATGCCTCTTGTTATTTCTGATCTTACCCAACAGAAAGCTAGACAATTTGATAAAACTGAGTCACAAAGATGCTAGTATGCTGAGGCATTATTTCCTTCCAATTTTACCTGAATTTTAATAAAAATCTGGATAGTAAATGTTCATGCATCATATCCAGCTAGAGAGAGAGAGAATTCTGGGTGAAAGATTCATTTTATTATCCCTTAAGTAATTGTGGATGAATATGGCCAGTCCCATTTCTAATACTAATATGTCAATTAGGGAGTTGGAACTTTATCCCTGGGGACAATGAATGGTCATCAATGGACTTTTTGTAGGGAAGCGACGTGATCAAATATGTGCTTGAGAAAAGTCATTCTGCCTCGAGTGGGATACAGGTTGGAGGGGGACTGGAGAAGAGGCTGTCATCGTATACACATTCAAGGTGTTGGTGACAAGATTTAGGGCATTGGCTTGAGGACGGCTGGGATGCTGCAGCACAATTAAAAGACAGAAACAGCTGTCTTTAGCCATGCAGTAGCTGTGGAGAGTGAAGGAGAGGGATGCTGTAGGAAGAAGGTATTTTCTTGTCTCAGGCAGGGGGGAGTGGATGATGAAACACAAAAAGAACAACGTAATTGAGAGGCAACAGAGTTGAAGCTGGAAATAACGGATTCTATTTTGAGCTTACTAAGTCTGAAGAACCTATAGGACAGGAAAGAAAATGACAACTCAGTATCTTATCTCGTTATAGAATTTTATCACCAGACCAACAAATGTTTCCTTATGTCCGATACAAATCTCTTCCGGCTTTACTTAAGCCTGTTTCCTCCTCAGCATTCAATACCAACCTCAAGACTTTACCCTCGTGCAGTCTTGTCTTCCTGAGAAAGTAATATTTAAATGGAAGGTTGGGGTGGGTGGGAGGGTCCCAGCAATAAGAACTATGTGTCCAAAGTCTTGTAAATAATAGAAACTCCCAATTTCCTATATGGAAGGGACATAGGGTGTCAATGTCATTGGAAAAGGAAGGTACATGAGAGAAAAGGCTAGTAACTTTCTTTCGAAACTGCGTTTGCCTAGCAGTTCACTCTTCATGTTGATTTGGAGTAATAAGCTCCAAAGTTGATTTGAATCTGGCTCTTTCTGAATCCAGATCCCTGGAATATCCTGTCTAAATATTTTGATTTCTTCTATATCTAACTAGTAGTCCAGATTACTTTCTTTCCTTTTCCCCTACATTATTTTTCTTTATAATCACTTATTATTACTTTATAGTGTACATTCATTTTTAAAAATTAGTGTATGTTGTCTGTCTCCAGAATATAATCTTTCTGAAGCCAAGAACTTTATTCGTTTTGTTCATTGTCCTACTATATTATGGTCAGGTTTCTTTCATCTTTTCTGACTCTTTGTTCCAGATCTGTCATTTTATTTAACTTTTACAGTGTCACTTAAAAACTTATTGTTCTAGGATAATTTGCATCAGTGTTTAGATGGTTTCCACCTGCAAGATCAAAGGAAAAAATGAACTATTTCAAAATTTTCCTAAATAAAAATAGCATTCAGCCATAACATAATTTTAAGACTAATTTTTTGTTGGATTTATAAGCTTTACCAAAGTAAGCTTTGGTATAAAAGCACACTTGATAAACTGATTCTCAGCATAAATATTTCTTCATAATAGCCTTAATTATTTTTAATGTATATATGTAAGAAATTTTATTATTTTGCTTTTTAAGGTTGCAACTACTTGCTGAGGTTATAAATGAATGATCAGCACACAGTCATTTATGATAACTTAACCTTCCAAGTTTATTAATATTAATATTTTATATTTAGTTTTCTTGTAGCTTTCTTCTGATTAGAGTTTAATAGAGAGGTTTTATTCGTGTGAATATTAACGGCATTTGAATAAACTATGGAGGATTACAGTGTAATGCTGCTGGATACAGAATGATTCTTTTAGTCACCAAGACTAATAATTTCCAACAATATCTAAAAACATTGTAGAAAAAACTGGAACCATGCTGGCACCAGGGACAGACAGGCATGAAAGATTAATGTAATCTTGCATATAATGATGCACATTCTTACACAAAAAATCCATCTGCAATGTCATGTCAGTCAGCAGAAATCTTTGATGGGTGGATACAGCTGGGCTGTCTCTTCTGGCAGAGCTGCCCTAGAAAATGCTAAATGTGGTTGGGATGCTTGGTGCCATCTGCAGTGTGCCAGTTTATCCCGTCTTCACTGGCATTTACAATACTGCATAGGGCATCATGACTGCGGAGACAGCGATAGGGAGTGACAGATTCATTTCCTCGGAGGATCTGGCTCTTGTGGGCCCGTGCCACCCTCCTTCTCAGCTTTGGGTCTGTTATCATTGGTGTTGGCTTTGCTTCATATTTTCACATCCAACTCCTCCTCTTTTTAGTCTAGCAGTTCCAGATACACATTCTTCTAGTATGTAAATCTTACACTAACCTTTCAACTAATTTATTCATGTAAGGTTGCCAAAGCAATTTAACATTGACTGTTTGATGCCAGCTAATATGCCTTATTTTCAAAATACTGCTGCTCTTGGGCTTCTGATTTAAAGGAAATGTGTCTTATTTAGGGGAAACTAAACAGACAGGCACCAAGATAAATGATCTAACTGCTGTGTGTGGGATATCCCCAAATGACTTATGTAGTTGGAACAAATATATGACCCTCTTTTACATAAAGCCATAAAACACATCAGGCAAGTAACACTTAATTCTCTTTCCCATGATTAAAATATAAATAGTCAAGAATAAATGTTCTTTTATGACCTGACCATATGTTTATCATATTATTTTGCCAAACCAAGTTAAAAAGTATAGATTTTTGTTTAAAACTTTCACTGTTTTGTGCTTTTGTTTTTTTAATAGTAACAGAATATGAAGGGCATGCTCTGTCACTCCTGAAGGAATGTGAACTACAGGGATTTGATGGGTAGGTTTGTTGTTAATCTATATGTGTCACATAGCTTATGTTATTAAATGTTTTCATTAGTTTTTTGCCACATATTTGGGACATATAATTGTTTAAAAATTGTGATTGTGTCTATGTCATTCATTCCTGTATAATAACAATTACTGATAATAATGATAATAATACGGCGTAGTCATCGACTCTTAGGATTGAGCCTAGGAAAGCAAAAGGAGAAATCTAATTATAAGCACTGGGGAATCACAGTGTACCCCATTTGCCTCTATAGTCCTTAATTTTTGGCTTTAACCATGTAAGTATCTAGAAGAGCATTAATGGAAGATATTATATTGGTCAAATGGCATAACTGTACTCTGATCCTCTTTTGCAAATTTATTGACAGTATTGATAGCTACCCCTGGTTACTTTGGCTGTGAGGGTAAACATTTTATAAAAATAAATCTATTATTTTCAGAATGAATAAAAGATGCTAATTTTAATTACCTTCTATAATTTAGTGGCTACCAAATAAGTATGTTCTTCATAATGATCTGCAATACATTGCTGGAGTGTGTAGAAATTGTTCACAGGCATGCAAACATTAGAAACAAGGCTAGTGACATAAACTTTAATACTATTTTTAGAAATTAGGCGAATCAATTTGCTATAGTGCTGGATCGATGTGTAAGACAAAAACATGTGCTTTTAGGGAAGGTTTTTTGCAAGGGTGGATTTTTCAGAATTTTAAAGGTGGCAAGTATGTGAATTATTTGTGTCACATGGTGATCAGCAGGGGTCAACAAAAGACTCACAATATCAGGAAGGGCAGTTGGGTCTTTCAACCAAAGCGAAAGGCTTTACTCTTCCCAGAGAACCATTAGAATATTTTAGGGAGGAAAGTGATGCAATCAAAATGGAGCGTTAGCAGGGTTGTTTTTCAGAAATGCTTAATACTTTTTGGTGAGATGAAATATTAGTGGATGAATAAGAAAGTTTGGAAAGTAAAACATGATTTTTCAAAAAGGAATTTAATTCAGAGGGGTAAATCTAGATGGCAATATTATATAAATATTGAGGATGAAGAGTATGAGGTAGGAGACTGCTTCAGAGCTGTATACTGAGAGCTAGACAAATTGATTAATAGGCTACATTTAGGAAATTATCTTGCAAGTATACAATTTGAGAAAAGTAGTTGGAGAAATCATGCCCACCAGCTCCTACCTGAATATGATTCATAGTCCTGAGACACAGCTTCTGAGTATATGAGACTGGCTGCATTGCAAATAAGTCTTTGCTTCAAAGCAATGTTATATAAATAACGAGAATAATGGATAGTGTAGGTATTAGATCTGGTCTTGCTCATCAACGTTATGAAGTGTTCTGCTAAACGTGATATCTATTAATATGCTCTGTTGGTAATTATACTATGGTGAGGATTAAGAACAACTTTGCAGACTGATGAAGGACTATTGCTCAAGTGCAATGTGGTAATATGTTTCTCTTTATCTGAACATACTTAGTTCTTGTTTATTTCACATGGCAGGTGTTGTTATTTTGCAGTGTGGCACTGAAAGATATATAGATCTCTTAGTTATTACCCTTTTTTTTTTTTTTTGAGGAAGATTAGTCCTGAGCTAATATCTGTCGCCAATCCTCCTCTTTTTGCTGAGGAAGATTGGCCCTGAGCTAACACCTGTGCCCATCTTCTATTTTATACATAGGATGCTGCCACAGCATGAGTGGATAAGCAGTGCGTAGGTCTGCACCAGGGATCCAAACCTGCCACCCCTGGGCTGCTGAAGTCTACCATGTGAACTTCACCTCTATACCACTGGGCCAGCCCCTTACTCATATATTTTTTAACCAAATAGTTTGGCCTATCCGTTATATGAATTGAGTTTCAGTGATTTAACTGTTTCTAAGCTCTAGCATGCTGATTTATTTAGGACATATAATAGTTTAAAATTTCTATTGAAAGTCATCTATTTCCTAAGGTCCTTTCAATAGTTCATTTATTTTCATGGGCCCAGTTTTTCCAGTAGGAGCTGATATGGTGGTTGGGATAACTATCTTAATAAAATGATAATTAAAAGTTACTTTACTTAAAATTGCATAGAGAGATATTTGAGGAGAGCAATGGAAACATCATTTCTTTAGGACTTCAAAAGAACAATTTTCTAACAAGTAGAATTGTTTGAAAATGGAATGCCCTGCATTCTTGGATTCCCTGTTCCTCAACCTGTTTGAAGAGTGGCTGTGGGAGCACATTCTGGGAAATGTATGCAAGAGACTCAAGGATAGGGTAAGGTGACCCAAAGATTCTATTGGATGAGAGAGGGCCTCACATTCCTTCAAGAACTTGAGCCTGGAGCATCTCCGCCCGACTCCAGCGGAGCTATCCACAGGGACTGATTAGGCAATCACCTAAAGGTTTTTGGACACAGACCAGAGAGGTTAAGATCCAAGAAAGATACTATGTACATTATTCAGTAAGGCAAAATGATTAAGTAAGATTTTTTAAATGTTATTTGCTAAGATTTTGGAATTTTTTAATGAGTTATGTGTGTTTCTATGAAGACACACTGTCACATATTTCTAAAGCCAACAGGAACAGTGTATCAGTACTCATGACAGCCGGTGTGCAACTCCAGTGTGTTCTAGCAAACATTCTCAGATCCACTGTGAAAACTTGTAGGAGTGTCAGTTTCCATATTGCCCCCTCCTTATACTGGGCATGAACAGGAAGTTTTGTAAAGGCAAAGGGAAGAGTAATATCAGGTGCATAGATTGAAGCAGTTAAATTTATAAGTGTGAATTCAGTTAAGCTAATCTATAGCTCTTATGCAATTATAAGTATACTAATATTTTCCTATCTTATTTCACAGCTTTTTACGTTTGAATTTGTTGAATTACACGGTTTTTCTTCTTTTGTTAGTTTCATCATTAATCAGACCCACAATAATCTAGACATTATTTGGCTAACATTGACATTTTATCAATATTTGTATTACTAAGTAAGGTTTAAAAAAAAGTATGTTTTTTCAAAAAAGAAAAAGTTTAAATAAAAAATTAAATGATACATTTAACATTTCAAAGATGATATTGGTTGATAGACAAACACCCACTTAAAAATTTTCATATTACCATATTACTTTTTATAAAAAGATATTAGCCCCTACTTGTATTTTCTAGACAGAATCATTCTACGTGGGGTCATGGCAAGGAGTTTACTTATTCTGAAAACATAAGATATACCACATGAAAAGGATTAGTTGCACTAAGGTTTATGTTTTAGGGTAACTCTTAAGTGTGTTAAACTAACTCATCATAAAAACTGGATTTTTTTTTACCTTATAGTGTCCAGACTCTTGTGATATGTTTGTATTAAGTGTATTTCCTAGGTTGAGTAACTATACCTGGAGATAATCTTAATGATATAGTAGTGATCACCATAAATAAATATGTTCCTTCCTCACTCATTCAATTTCACATTGATTCTACTAGTAAACTGATTTTCAAAATAATAAAACCCTCATAGGGCTATTTTGGTTAGGTTTCATGTATAGCAAAGGAATATAGTATATTTAATAGGGTGCAGGCTCTAAGGGCAAATGTCTTTTGTCAGGTCCTCATTCTATCACTTACTGTGGTGTGACCTTGGAAAAGCTACTTAATCTTTCTACGCCTTAGGTTCCTAATCTGTAAATTGAGAGTAGAAGTATCTATTGCATGCAGTTATCATTCAAATTAAATGAGTTAATACACAGAGAGCACTGAGAACAGTGCCTGGTGCATAGTAATTACTTGCTAAAGGTTACTTTATTTGATTGTCATCATTTGTTATAGTTTCAAAATATTTAACACAGCATGTATTATGACAAAATTTCAAAGGTTTTTGTAGCAGAGCGTGTTCATAGAAAGGCCATTTCTACTAACTCTAGCAGTGAGTTAACATGCACGACGCTATATTAACTGGATGCAGGATTCCCGGGGTCAGATGTTGTTGTACTAGATGGGAGAGTCAAGTTCTTTGGTGTTAAGTTAGTTGCTTTGTTGGCTGACTTTCTGTGCTCCTTTCAGGGACACACACCACAGCAGGTAGACAGGTATGGAGCTGGGAGTTACACTTAAGTTCATAGAATGTTTGGAAATCTGCTCATAGAGAGCTTTGAAATCATACAGATAAGGTTCAAATCAAACTTTGCTTCCCCATTTATAAATATGAGGCTAATGCCTACTTATAGAATTCTGAGGATTTAATAGAAAAGAGCCAATGTATCTGACATAAAGTTGACCCTCAGTAGGTATAACTGTTTTTCTCCGACGAGTGGCCACACTGTGAACCCTTAGAATCAATTCAGGTATAAAATAATACCCCTAGCCAAAAATGACCTGGGTCATATCCCGTATCCTGGAGTCTCTTCTAACTCGGGTAGACCTGGCTTGCCCAGGCTCTGTGCCCCCATAGGACTGAACCTCAGCGAAGTGCTGGGGCTGGAAGGCTGAGAACAAGGTAGAGGGAATTGATGGAAAAAATATCCTTAGCCTCTGGTTTCATCAACCCCTGGAATTTTTTAAACTTAGGGAACCAGTAACCCCTGCTGATTATGGCCTGTAGGCTGTTTGGTTTGGCACATAGAGTTTTTAAACATACAGTCATGTGCTGCATGATAACATTTCAGTCAATGACAGACTGCATACACAACTACAATGGTGGTCCTGTAAGATTAGTACCATATAGCCTAGGTGTATAGTAAGTTATACCATCTAGGTTTGTGTCAGTACACCCTATGATGTTTGCACAACAGTGAAATTGCCTAAGACACCTTTCTTAGAACATACCCCTGTCATTAAGTGACGCATAAGTATACTGAAGACGAGTTGCCAGGATTTACAAATTAGAAGACTCACCCCAAAATCAGGATCTGTGGCTTCTCTACAAAAATCAGAATATGTGGTCCTCTGGGCCTGCCTCCCAGAGGATGTGATGGGCTGGAGCTGAGAAGCTTTCTCCTTTAGACTGAGCATACTCTCCTGCTGGGCCCTTGTAGGCCTTAAGTTGTGACATCAGCTTTGAATGACACAAAATCATCCTCTTTTTGGGTAAATTGATATGATTTTGATACTTAAAATTATTTTGCATCTTTTAAATACAAATGATTGTGAAACAAATTTCTGGTATTGTATGTATTACTGTCATGGATTCCCACACCTACTCCCTCATAGTCTACTTATAATGAAGTCTAAAAAAGATATTAGCAGCGCTGACTAGGGTCAAAGGGTAGTAACACTAATTTTAAAAGTGCTGTGTAGCGGTAATGTCGAGGAGATGAAAACCAGTTCAGATTTGCAATTATTATATTCATATACTAATGATAATTAGCAGTTCCTTAAATTAAAGCTTCATATTTTACATGATTTTTATTGCTATTTGTCTTTTCAAGCTATGTTGAAAATTAGCAGGATTTTATCTCTTTGGTTTATGTTAATTAAATGGATTGCCCATGACTATTATTAAAATACACAAAATGAGTATAATATGCTTTTGGACATTAACAGAGCAAAATGCAGGTCAGATGTGAGTTAACAGGTTCAAATGTTTTAATGCCTCTTAACTCATTTAAAAATATTTTGTTTATGGGATGTCATCATGGTATTATAAGGTAAACTTTACCAGTGCAGTTCCAGTGTCTTCTTATCCACTGACACATACTAAAATGTTTGAGGTGTGTGAGTAATCATGCACATGAAATATATAGGATTAATATTTTGAAGCCTAGATTTCATGAATTATTACCAATTACTTTGAAGCTTTGCATTCTTTTACTTAATTTCTTGTTTTCTAGCGTCGTGTGTGTTGGTGGAGATGGATCGGCCAGTGAAGTAGCCCACGCTTTGCTTCTCAGAGCCCAGAAGGACGCTGGGGTGGAAGCAGACAGCATCCTGACTCCTGTCCAAGCACAGCTTCCACTTGGTGTAATACCAGCAGGCAAGGGAGGGGCCATGGATCTGCTAACTGGAACCTCTCCTCCTATCTATCCCTAGTTACTTCCTAACCTAGATAGTGTAACACAGAGTTAAATGCAGACTTTGATTCTGAAAGACCCAAGCTCGGCATCTCCATTAGCAAATGTGAGACTTTCAACAGTTATTTAATTTCTTTGAGCCTCATTTTTTCTAATCCATTAAAGAGAGATAACATACATAATATTCACTTCATTTCAAGGTTATTGTAGTATTAAATTAGATGGTATATGTGGAAGGTTTAATACATAGTTAAGCAATTAGTGAATGAGATTATGATTATTTTACCTTCTTAAATGAAAGTGTAATGATCACACAGTCCCAGATATGAAGTTTCAAAACAGGCCCACTCCAGGCAAGCTGTTTGCAATTCCATATTAGGTAAAATGTGGTAACTCCCATAATCAAAGTATAAACAGGTAACCTTGAGAATGCCAAAAGGATTCATTCTGACTACTGTATCTCCAGCAGCTAGAATAGAATAGAATGTGACACAGTGATGCTCAATAAAATTTGTTAAGCGAATGAATGTAGTGAAAACGTTATAGAATAAGTACCACTTAAATTAGGCCTAAAAATAGACAGGATCTGGCTTAAAAAGATTAGAATGAATTATTTTCTTGACTGCAAAAATGATAAATGTCAGGGAAAAACCCAAGAGTGTTGGGGAATAGAAAATGGGCCATTTGTTGGGTGATAATGGTGTCAAAATAGGCCCCAACCATGGTGGCTTCTGGATGCCACAAGAAGGATCTGAATTGTAGTTGACAAATAGTAGGAAGCAATCTTCTGGGAGCTGGTTCTAGGGTGATTTGTGATTAGGGGAAGGGAGCAGGAAAAAGTGGAGATCAGAGCCTGGGGGGACCCCTCTAGTAACACTGGGATCCGGAAAAGAGGAAAGCATCTTTCACAAGTTTATGATGTTATTGGTGTCGCTCCTCCCAAATTATTATTTAAACACATAATGATGAAGGAAAGTGATTATTTCTCTTCATTTACCTCTAAAGAGAAGCAGAAACAATTATTCTTTCCTATGAAAATAGAAAATAATGCACATAGTTGGAAAAAATTCAACATCCTATCCATTTGATGACCACATTCGTTTAGTATGTATTTCAGTATTTTTAGTATTGTTAATTAACAAAGAGTAAAAGATACACAAATTGCCCTTTTAAAGTACGAAGGCTTTCATCAAAACAAGAATTTAAAAGAAGAGGGATTTTCTGATATATCCTGATAACTGTATAGCACATAGAGAAAAACCTGTGATGGTCTTAAGTAGAAGAGAACAGAATAACCTCAACTCAAAAAGAAAAAAGGATGCATTTGGAGCCAGTCACTTTGACCTTTTTGTGTAGCTCTGTCTATAATGGTGGAATCTTTTCAACATTCCACTCATGCGAAGGAGATCACTGTTTCTCTTCATAAGTAGCTACACTCCTGAGATCACTCATTAACTGCTGGGCATCAAAAGTAGAAAGATAGGTGTCCCCACAGGTATGCATTTGACATAAAGAAAATAATTAGCTAGAAAAACTGGTGGTTATGCTTATCTTTGTAGAATGTAACTCTGGTTTTATGAAGGAATAGCACTGAGTTTTATCATTATTATACTTTTTAAGCATATCTCTGATTTTGAAAGTGTTTTCTATGTACAGTGGATATGTAGAAATACCAGTTGAATACTTTTTGTTTAGAAGATACAGCCTGTTGCCAAAACTCTGGTCACAGTACGGGAGTTCCAGCTTATGGATTCCATCTACTAGAAGGAGGAAGTTATGTGTGGAACATATTTAATAGGAGGACTCTATGCCTAGTCAGGGCTTTGATAGAGAATGGGAACAAGAGCCAGGCAGGAAGTTTCCAAGCTGAACACAGAAGATGGTCTGCCTTTGAAGCCATTTGCCTCCTGGAGAGAGACACCCAGAGGGACAGTGTTTAGTAAATTACTCTGCTGAGCCAACAGACTAAGCGGCTGAGTTATGGTCAGACTCAGATGGATCAGATGTGGGGAAGCCTGTATTTGAACTGCTGGCCATTAGCAATGGTGCTTGTTGCTATGGGAACTGGTGCTAAGGAACTATACAGAGAGATTGCGATTAAAGGGGTGGGGGGAGGACAGAGAAAAAAGCTGGAGAGGACATAAAAATAAAAGAGCAATCCAGTTGTTGTAAAACAAGCCTCAATCCACATACTGATGGCTGCGAACCATATATTCCTATAGAGTTCACGTAAATAAATTCATGCTTTCCAATTAATTTAAGGAGTATAAAATATTGCCAAGGGACTGTTAATTTCTATGATGTTTCAGGCAAAGAACCAAAGTGTAGGTGCAGTTTTCATGAGAATTTTAGATATGCTCGACTAGGAAGTCATTACATCACATTTATCTGTTTGGATGTGGGAGACATTAACGGCCTTATGAATATTCATGGTGTCTGGTTAATTAAGTTAATTGTTCTGCAGAAATGCTTGCACTTCCAAGGACAATTTTTTTCTTTCTTTTTTTTTGTCTCTCTAGTTTCTGCCTGGTACTTTCATCAGTCATTCTTTACATGAGCTGCTACTTCTGTCCTTACTCTTTGTATTTGGCACATGTTAGCAGGTCTGAGGAGGTGGTTGTGAGCAAAGTTGCTGGGAGCGTTAAGAAAAATAACTTTTCAGGCTAATTAAAATGTTTACCTTGAAGTAGAGCATTTATAGCTTTTGTGAGAATGCTAAAATTACCTAGTTGTTATTTATGCGAGCAGCATGTTCTCTTGGCATGTAGACATCGTTTCAGATGGATTACATTTTGTTTCAGAAAATTGTACTCTATTTTGTAGATTGTCCAAACAAAAAAATAGAGCAATCCCTAGTTTTACAATTTTACATCCACTTTCCTTATGAACTTTTCCTTTTTAATTCAGAGTGTAAAAAACCGTTCCTGAGGACTAAGTTACAGGTTAATCAGAGTAGGAGATGACTAAAGTAATTTTCTGACTTCTGGTCCTGCCTATCATCACTGCCAAGTTCTATGGAATTAAGGAAAAGTTACAAAGTTGCAAAGCCTGAGAAGACATAAAAATAAAAAAGTGATCTCTAGCATTCTAAAAGGATTTGTGCTTGGGCATGCTTAGCATGCTTCAAACTCACAGGGAATAAATGGTCTTTATTTTCTTGAGTCATGATATGTGTCATTGTCTATTGCACATGACAACATTATATTATGTCTTTTAATAGCCTTTCTAGAGGAATGCTTTTATGGCCTACTCCTAATTAACCATGGTAATGGAGGAAATGTGTTTCATGGAGGACTGGGATCCATTGATAATCCTAAATATCTCACTCTAATTATGCGGCTTCCTCCAAAACCTTTACCGTAAATCTGATTGGGAAGCAAAATAGATTGATTTGTTTCCTCTTTTTTCTCCCACCCATTTCAGATTAATTAGCAATTAGACAGCAAAAGGGCAGGGTGTAGAGGGTCAAAGGATAATTGGAAAGGCCTAGGTAATTGAGTCCTAGGTAAAGATGCACTGAGTAACAGGTTTCTGGACCACTTGTTCTCAAACCTTAGGGTGCATATGAATCACCTTGAGAACTTGCTGAAACCTGGACACCTGAGCCCAATTCCCAGGGAATCTCATTCCCTGGGTTTGAGGTAGAACCCAGAAATTTGCCTATTTTTGCAGCGGCTGGTGTGAGGAAGATTGACCCTGAGCCAACATCTGCCACCAATCTTCCTCTTTTTGCCTGAGGAAGATTGTCCCTGGGCTAATATCTGTGCCACTCCTCCTCCATTTTGCATGCGGATTGCCACCACAGCATGGCTTGATGAGTAGTGTAGCTCCGTGCCTGCGATCTGAACCTGCGAACCCCAGGCTGCTGAAGGAGAGCACTACACCACTGGGCCAGCACCAGAAATTTGTTTTTTAACAACCTCCCTGATCCTGGACCATGCATTCTAGAAGACTGCCTCTCCAAGTTACTGTACATACACGTAACCTGAAGATCTTATAAAAGGCAGACTGACTCAGTAGGTCTGGAGTGGGGCCTGAGAGTCAACATTTTAGTAAGCACCCAGGTATTGTCATTGCTGCTGGACTGTGGGCCATATTCTGAGTAACAAGGGTCGAACCCTAACTTGTCTTTTGATAAACCAGTTTACAATTAGTTAAGGTGAACTTTTCTTTGTATTGGTATTACTAGAGGTCTGGAAATCATTAATGCTTAGAAAGGTCCCTAATGATTGTTATTACGTTAATGACAGTCTTGGTTAATAATGTCTGAGTTGCTTCAGCTTCTCCATCTGAACAGCCCAAGCACAGATTACATCTAACCACACAGGAAGGTTCTTGAGTAACAAGTCCAGGGGACTAGCCTCTGCCTTGAGAGCTGTAGTACACAACACATCCATACTTTCACAGCTCTCGGCTGTTACTGGATTTCTTTCTCATATTCTTTAACTCAAGCAAAACTGTAGCTTCTTAATTTTAAACCCTTTTCACTTCCTGGGAATGGCAGGGGCTAGCTGGTATTTTCCCCTCAGGAAGCAGGGCTTTTCCCCCAAGATCTCAGAGACACATAAGTGTTCCAGGGACCTGACTTGAGAGAGCTCTTTCCTTCTGGAGGTTGGTGGGAAAAATTCATGTGGGTCTTAAATTATGCAAATGATTATAAAAAATCAGAAATCCATAATGTCTCAGATTTTCATACCATCACAAATACCCATTAAATTAAAAATTTTCTTCATCTAGGATGCTATTTGTTGGATAATAGAGGGAAATACCCATTTCGATGAGAGCTTATCTCTAAGATTCATTAAATGTGTTTAAAGCATGTCTTTTGTACTTTATGGTGATTCTGTACATTTTCTTGGCTGTTATTTGGATTTTTATTATTTGCTTATGTATTTGTCTCTGCTCACCAGAGACACCATTCTGTTGGTGCTCATTTTGATATAGAAGTTAGAAGCCCATTCATTAAAGTGGGATGGAGTAGATTTTGATATAGCTAATATTTCCTGGGAGACAATAGACTTTCATGATGGAAAAACCTGTGAGCAAATAGATACTATAAAATATTTTCTGACTTTTGAGTTGTTTGAAGATTAAATAGTAATTTAACAACTGTTTGATGTGCATCTGTGCTGTGAATGAAAACTTATAAACTTCCATTAATTTTACATCTAAACATTATATAGTGACATCTGTATAAAATAAGGGCAAATGGTTAGTTTAAAATGTATGCTAGGGGGCCGGCCCGGTGGTGAAGTGGTTAAGTTGGCACATCCCGCTTTGACGGCCCGGGGTTCACCAGTTCGGATCCCGGGTGTGGACATGGCACCGCTTGGCAAAAGCCATGCTGTAGTTGGCGTCCCACATATAAAGTAGAGGAAGATGGGCATGGATGTTAGCTCAGGGCCAGTCTCCCTCAGCAAAAAAGAGGAGAACTGGCAGTAGTTAGCTCAGGGCTAATCTTATTCTTCTTCTTCAAAAAAAGTATTCTCCATTGATTGTACATGTTTTAAAATTGATTTGGCAGGCTCCACTAACGTATTGGCACATTCTCTTCATGGAGTCCCTCACGTGGTAACTGCAACTTTGCACATTATAATGGGTAAGAAGTCTTTCAAAGAAGTCCATGTTTTATAAGGAAGTTTTTATTTACATAAGGAAGGCTATTTTAGTTTTGTTAGACTTGTCTAAGGAAAGAGAGGTTCTTTATCTCTCAAAGCAGACAAACGTTTGACTAAAAAACAAAAGTCAATCTTCACAATTTTGACTGCTGTCTTTTCAGAATACAAGTGCTATAACGAGCAGTAAACTAAGTTTTACTATAATCTTGCAGTAAAAGAAAGTATTGTAATGATGTTCAAGATCACAATTTTATAACCGGGTCAAGAAAACCCTCACACGCCATTTGAGTGTATCAGCTACTGTTGTTTGACTGCACCAAGACTTCAGGGCTGGGATTATGTTGTTAAAAGAAAAATGCAAGGAAACATCTTCCAGCCAGTTCACATCCACTAGACCTTTGATTATCCCAATTGGTGGAAAGCACGTAAGCTCAGATAAATGCAACGCAAAACTACTGTTAAATCTGAGTTTAGTGTGCACTTGTACGTCAACTTCACTTCCTTAACCATATTTACTATGAAATAGAAATGAATGGCAAAATTTTCTACTTTGTGTTTCTTCCCTGAGTACCTGAAAATGTTACAAACAGCAATTGCAGCAGTTGTGGGTAAAAAGAGATGAGAAGAAAGCAAGGATATTCATTGTGGTATAAAGTAGTTTAAGCTCTTCTATAAGTAAATATGATCTATGTTTGCCATTTTGATGACTGGCCCTACTTCACACACTGATTGACTAATAGTCAATATAATATTCAAGGGCATGTACAACCGGTCGATGTCTGCAGCTTCAGCACCATTGGCAAGCTTCTTCGCTTTGGGTTCTCAGCCATGTTTGGCTTTGGTGGAAGAACTTTGGCTCTGGCAGAAAAGCATCGATGGATGTCCCCTAACCAGCGAAGGGATTTTGCTGTAATTAAGGCATTGGCAAAACTTAAGTAAGTCTTTTTTTCTTAAACCAAATATTTTGTATCCCAGAGTCAATGACTGTCAGTAACAAGTTTCATTATATTTTAGGCCAGAGGACTGTGAAATATCATTTTTGCCATTTAAAAGCTCTCAGGATTTACAAGAAAGGTAGGTTAAAAGCTCAAAGTAATATAGATGTCTTTATCTTTCTTTAAAGCATAAAACAGTTTGATATAAACAACTTATTAGACTTAAGATCTTTGTTTTTCTAACGTACTAGTGAAGAATATAGAATTGTGGAGTCCTACAGATTCTAGTGGGCCATGTAATTTGGCTTATGTCTTCAGAAACAACCATTCTCTCCATCCATCCATCCACCCATTCTGCAACAGCTGTGTATTGAGTGCCTCCTATATGCCAAGCACTTTGGATACAAAAATAAGCCAAGAAACTAACAAACAAACAAAATCCATAGTTTCTGCCCTCATGAGAATTTCAGTCTGGTGTGGAATACAAATATTAATCAAAGCCACACAAAGGAAGTGCTCCAATCTTTAAAAAAATTGAAAAGCATTGTTATTGATGATACTACCTTTAAATGAAGCAACACCATAAACGCAATAATGGGATTGTTCGCATATTTTCACTTAGTATCTAATTAATCTAAGAAAATACTTAGTAGATGTAATGTTGGGTTCTCTCATTTTCTCATATTTAATAGATGCTCTTCTTTATGTGAAGTTTTTTTGTTTCTTTGTTTTGTTTTCTTACTTTTAGGAGGGCACAGGAATCTCCCAAATCTGGTGAGTCTAAAAGTACCTCCTTGGGAACTGAGCCAGGCTCTGTTTATGTTTTGCTCCTGTGAGGGAAAGTAACCGATCACTTCCATTACCTTTAGACTGTAATGAACAGTGGCAAATGATCCAGGGTCAGTTCTTGAATATCAGCATTATGGCAATTCCTTGCCTGTGTTCAGTGGCACCTAGAGGCTTGGCACCTAATACCAGGTTAGTAAGCGTTTTTATTGAATCATTGATACTTTTCTATAAGCCACAATTTTCTTTCAGAATACCCCCTTAACACTTGGCTGCCTAGAATATTAAGAGATTTTCTCTTAGACTCTGTAATATTAGAGATTTTAAGGGATTTGTCACCAGAGTAGGTTGAGAACAATTGTTAAACTGGAAAAATTATCAGACAAGCATTCTGATTTTTTAATATCACTGAGGCTAAAATAATATTCCTTGGGTTTTATTGACATGATGTTATTGTGTATTTGGGGCCTACTTTGCTTGCTTTATTTATTTATGTTTATTTACCAGTTATTGAGAATGTTGTATTTAGTTCTGGTATTTCTTATGAATGTCTCTGCTTTCCAATTTTCATGCAGACATAAATATCCTTAGCATGAAAAGCATGTATATGGCTATATATGATACTTTTAGTCAAAGGAAAGATTTCAGTTATATTTACTGTGAAAAATGGTACATATGAATCTACTGCCTACAATTTCATGAGAACTTTATGTATTGTTTTATCCATACCATAGAGATATCCCATCTTTTGCACATTCTTTTCAAGCAACTGTCCATTATTGGTCTGAAAATATTTCTCTCCCACTCCTGTAGAACATAGAAGAAAGGATCATGAGTGTTGTGTAATACAGTTAAATCTAGATTTTCCCCAGAAGTGGAATAAAAGGATAACTTGTGTACTTTGGCTATTTATAACTTCATTTTAACGATCAGTTTTAACTCCTCTGGAAAATATTTAACCAGAATGATTAACAGCTAGTAAAAGGGACTGATTTTAAACTTTTCCCTTGGCAATCGATATGAAGGTACTAAACAGGGAAATACTCAAAGTTAGAGAAGCGAAAGAGAAACTACAAATTTTTCTATTAAAAATCTGGATGTCATGGTCCTCATTAATTATCCATAGTGCTGAAACTTGAAAGGAGTGTTTTGAAACTTGCGTGGTTTAGAAATTGAGCCTGATTGTGTCCTCCTTAGACCCTCACAAATCCTAGACAGCTGGTGCCTCCCTAACGTCCTTTCCATCACTGAAAGTAAAGACCTGGCCAGCCCACCACAGCTATGTTCTCCAAGACTCGAGACGATGTTTCTCTAACCCTACTCCATCCCCAACTCTCGTGTTTGCTCAAGGGCCTTCATCAGAGCCAGCCTACTCTTCTGGGAGCACTGACTCATGCTTCCTTCAAAGCTGCTTCATACATTTTTTCAGCTTGCCTTGAATTCCACTGCTTACACACCAGGTTTAATCAGTGAATTTATGAGAGAAGGACTAGTTAGGGACTTCTTCTGTGGATTATAATCACGCATGCCATTTTTGCAAAGGCCTTTACACCAAGCCTCAGCTGACCAGAGATATTCAGAGATTTATCTTCTGAATGATTCAGGACAACTGCACGGGAGTTTCAAATTTCAGCTTCCTTTATTTTTTCACAATAAAGTATAGTTTACTTCAATATACCTCAGCGCAAATTGCTGATAGAAACTAATATTCTTATATTCCGAGTTTTCTAAGATTAAATGCATTAATCTGTGTGAAACATTTAGAACAGTGCCAGGCGCATCAGGTGTGTTTCAATTACTGATGCGTATTGAAAAGTAGACATACAAAATGCTTTTTATGTTTCTGAGTAAGAATAAAGGATACACAAAGCACTACTCTGAACATTTTGTACCATTTACTTCCAGTTGGGAAGAGGTGGCATGATGGGTAAAAGGAGCATTGGACCCTAGGAATTAAGAGCTCTGGTCCAAGTGAGCATTTTGGTTTTCTCCATGTGCTTTTGAACAAATCACTTAAATGTAGGGTCTTCTTTTCTTTCTACATAGACTGAGTGAATGACGGCATCATCTCCAAGGTGCCTTTGAGCTCTAACCTGAGCTTCCATAAGATTTAAAGAGCTCTTCTTTACATCGTTATTGTTATTCTTGGAATAACTTTATATTTGCACTGAAAGCAAGCTAGAAGTCACTTATACGTATTTCTGCAAACTATCTTCTAAAACTAGATGCATGCGAGAGAAGCTTTTTTGGCACTAAATCACACCTCTAAATTTATAGTCTTTTCTATTGAACTGAACAGTTGTGCACAATTAGAATGCTTGGTCATTTAACTGAAGCTGTGTGGCAGCATTTGTTCATTCCCTTTCATCCTTCCAAGGGCCACTTTGGTTTATTTGGTTTCCTATGTCCCTTAGACTTGCCCATAAATAAATATTTAGGTCACACTTTAGATTTTAGAAAGTGTTAAACTAGTTGTTAATACCATTTTTATTTGTTATTTACAATACATCTTTAAAAAAACATATGGTTTCACATTTAGAATCCCTAAGCAAATACATTGGATTTTAAATTATGTCTTGATATGTGAATAGGATGCATGATGGTTTGTTTTTTAAACAGCCCTTAATGTATGAGCTTACTGAGAAGGAAGCCAGTTGTTTAATAAAAACTTATTTGAAAGCTGTATCATTTACAAAACAGCACAGCAAAGACATGATTTGAGAATTTTAGGTAAATTTAATGTGATGACGATTTATCTGTCTTGCCTAAAACTCCTGGTAAGCATATTTGTTAGAAGGAATTATATACTGGTAATTTCTTATGCAATCTCTTAATAAACATTTTAATGTCAAATACAAATATTTAATTTCAGATTAAATAATGGAAGTATGGCTCTTATTATTGCACGAAACACTTCTCGACCAGAATTTATAAAACACCTGAAAAGATATGCCAGTCTTAAAAATCAGGTATAGTAAATTATTTTTGTTACTTATGTGCAAAGCTATTAATCATGGAGAGAGAGAGGCTGGAAGAGTTGACACCAAGTCCTGCCTCGAAAGAAGACTTTATTTCCTTCTGAATACATTAATCTTTTTTTTTAAATTTGTGTTTTCTCCAGATTTTGAAAAGTATCCATCAGTATTAATGTCGATTGGCCTTTTCTGAGCTATGGGTTGGTGGTTATATACATTCTGTGCATGTATGTGCAAAGAGAAAATAGAAAATGTAGTGTTACATTGAAATGTGAAGAAAATGAAGGATAAAATTACATACTTGACTGTTCTTCAGAATGAAAAGTAGTGAAATCTGAGATATTTAGCCTTCTTGATTTTATGGCATCAGACTTTCTCTAACGTTATGAGCTTTAGATTTCCTACCATTTGTTTACAGATCTGCCTATCATCACTGATGGAAATAGAATTGCAGATATACATTTAAAAATATGCCACTTTTAAACAGACATTTTATTCCAAACTAGAATGTGTGGTGAAGTTTGTGGAGATAAATGGAGAGATAAAATATTTCTACTTAGATTTGTTTTAAAGAGCAGCAGTAACTATTATTATAAGCCATATTCTTTTGGCAGATATTTTGACACAGTTATTAGGAAACTGATCCTGGAAATATGTGAATTTCTGAAATTGCGAGTCTTGAAGTGCATAGCATGGTTGTAAAACTCTAAAGTCTCACGCCTTAAAGGTATAAAATTGTGCTTTGATGTAGTTGGGAGAGGCCAGATGGGAGGAGGAGGAGAGTCCATCCAGCCAGTGACTAGCTGCTGGTCTTGCTTACGTAGTTCATGGGCGGTCCTCATGAAGTTTCAGTTCTCTTCTGCATAGTACATGATTTGATCAATGTGTATTGAGCAAGCGACTTAAGTGTTTTGGAAATTATAACATAAAAATTAGAAAGAGTCCCACTTTCCTTAAATATAAATGTCTAAGGAGACAAAGTAGACAAAAGCATATATAAAGTAGGTTGTAAGCCTAAGTAATAACTTTATGTATGTGTGTTTTGGGAAATAATAGCGCTTTGTTGATTTTTTAAAGGAATGTATGCCTTTTTCAGTTTAAAACTGCAGTTTTAAACATTAAAACCAACTTTATTACTTAACCCAAAGCAGTACATGTTCATCGTTTTCCTAAGTCAGAAAATAGAAACCGGAAAACAATATAAAAAGCATGCAAAATTCCATATCCCAAGAGATAATTGGTGTCATTACTTTGGTATAAATTTTCCCTAGTCATTTTCTATTAAATGAGAACTTAAGTGAATATTAACCTTAAGATTCTTACTTTGGGAAGTTCTACACTTATTTTAGGGAGTCATCTATTGTACAAATTATTTATGGGAGGTCTCTTTTGGAAATGCCTAAGGGGCAAATTTCTGAGGCAATTTTGGTAGACATCCTCTTTTCAATATGAAAATAGCTTTCTTCTGATTTTAAAAGTAGTAGTTGCTTACTATAAAATAAAGACGAATATAATTCTATATGTACAGGAAAATAATTGTTTTTAAAAAATGAGATCATGCTACATAAGATATAACCTATTTTTCCCATTATTCTACCAGTCTTGCTCTTTTTCAGTAATTTCATTGGGATCATAGTGGTTTATAATATTGTGTAATTTGGGGCATACATTATTGTTTATCAATTTCTGAATAGACTTCATCATGCTCATCCCAAGTAGTCTAATTTTTGTCCGTCACCGTACATATGTGCCCCTTTACCCCTTTTGCCCACTTCCAGCCCCATTCCCTTCTGGTAACCACTAATCTGTTCTCTTTATCCATGTATTTGTTTATCTTTCACGTATGAGTGAAATCATGCAGTATTTGTTTTTCTCTGTCTGGCTTATTTTGCTTAACATCATGCCCTCAAGGACCATCCATGTTGTTGCAAATGAGAGAATTTTGTCTTTTTTTATGGCTGAGTAATATTCTATTGTATATATATATATGACAACTTTTCATATCTTGCTTTTGATGCAAGAAATTATTGCCTCTGTGTGTGTATGTGGGTGTGTGCTTCATTAGGCTTAATTCTGACTGATTTAGCTCTTTCTAAAAATTAAAGTCCATGATATTGCTCTGTAATTTCTTGCAAAGAGATTCTAAAATGCTTTGCATAATGGTAGCTATTAAGAATAATTAGATTGATTCCCAAAGTGACTACTTTCAAGCAATGTTAATTTGGTACATTTGTTGAAAAATTATAGACACACATACACACACGTGTGTGTGTGTGTGTGTGTGTAGACTCTTTCCTTCATGGTGATATTTTCAATAATGTAAATTAATATAAGTTATGTAATATTATAAGGACCAGAAAATTGTAAGATTATATAATCTACTTATAATTGGTAGTAGTTCTGGTATCCAGGAAGGAAAATGTAGCACTTCAGCCTAAGGAGAGCAACAATCTAGGTCTCGAACCATCGTTACCAGGTTGAACTGAATGTTCATATGTATTACAGTTGTAGGATATATTGAAAACCATCTTTTGTGGGGTGACTCATCTTGCCCTTCCCATCTGTCTGTAAAACTGATAGAAGGTAAAAATTACCCTTCAAGTTCTTTCAACTCCATCCTTTAGCTGGCCTCCATTTTCACTGTCCATACTTTTCTACATTCACTTTGACCATGATTTTTGGTAGGGAGTTTAAAACCCTTAAATGTTAGTCCTTCCCCAAGGATTTGTGTGCAGCCCTCCTGTCTTCTCACGAGACCTTCTCCTGGGTGATCTCAGTGCCCCCGTTGTCTGAACCACTGTTTGAGCTTTGTACACTTCTGTCTTTTCTGCTGGTCTGCAGGACCACTGTATGTTCCTGTGTACAGAGAAGGTTATAAAACTCACAGGCATTGAGTCCAGCACGTCCATGGCTGACCTTATCATCTTTTCCCCTAAAGGTGCTCCTTCCATGTTTCCCTACCCGGGTCAATGGCACAACTCTCTACCCTTCCTGGAGAACTCTGGATTCTTCTCTCTCCTTCATTCCTCACAACTCATCCTCTAAGCAGTTCTATTTGTTCTCTTCTTAAATGTTTTTAAAATTTACCCCTCACCTTAATTCAAATCTTAATCTCTTCTTGCTTGCGATAGTCTCCTGGTCTTCCTTTTCTCTGGTCTTGTCTTCCATACTTCCTTCTAGAGGGCTTTTTCTAAAACAGACATCTGATTTCTCTTCAGCTGAATTCTTCAGTGTCTTTCTCATTGCTGTTAGGGTAGCGTCTGATTCCTCAGCATGAAATACACGGCCCTTTGTTTTCTGGCCCTTGCTGTGTCACAGCCTCTCCTCTTGCCATCCTCTACCAGATTTCTGGTGTTTTTGTCACTGTATTAGTTTTCTAGGCCTGCCATAACAAATACCACAGACTGGGTTCTTTAAACACAGAAATTTGTTTTTTCGCAATTATGAAGGCTAGAAGTCCAAGGCGTTGGAAGGTTTAGTTTCTCCTGACGTCTCTCTCCTTCGCTTGCAGATGGCTGCCTTCTGGCTGTGCCCTCATATGGTTTTTCCTCTGTGCATGTGCATCCCTGGTATCTTTCTGTGTGTCCCTGTTTCCTCTTCTTATAAAGATACCAGTCGTATTGGATTCGGACGCACCCTAAAGACCCTATTTTAACTTAATCACCTCTTAAAGACTTTATCTCGTAATATGCTTATCTTCTGAGGTACTGGAGGTTAGGACTTTAACACATGAAAATCTTTCGGGGGGCTGTGCAATTCAGACTATCCATCATATGTCTATTTTAAAAAGTTAAGTTCAAGCATTTATATATTCTGTAAAATAAATGCCAAAAATACCAGTATGGCAATTAGTATCACAGTATGCTGAATTTTTCCATAGTTGCTTGACTATAACATATCTCTGTACTTTTGCAAATGTAGTTTTTTCCCTCTAGAACTTCTTCCCTTCTCTTCCAGGTTCTCTTCTGTGTTCTTTAAGACTCAGCTCAAATGGGAAGCTCACCCAAACTCCTGAGCCTCTTTGCCTCTTCTCCTTTCTCTCATTTAACTCTCTGCTTACGCCACCATGGTACTTAGATGTATTACAATTGTAACTGTTTACGTCTCTTCCTCATGCCCCAAACACACTCTCACACATGACATTAGGCTCTTGGATCACTAAGTCCCATCTAACGATGTCTGTGGCTTCAAAGGTAATAAATTTTCATGGATGGATAGATTTCATTTCATGATGTATGCACATGAAAACTCATGACTTAATAGCCTTACTGGTGGTAGCCATCCATTTTTGGCATTCCTTGGCTTGTAGCTGCATCTCTCCAGTCTCTCTTTAATCACATGGCTCTCTACCTGTGTGTGTCTGTCCTCACATGGCATTCTCCTCTCTTATAAGGACACCACTTATATTGGGTTAGGGCCCACCCTAATGACTTCATCTTAACTTAATTACCTCTGTAAAGACCCTATTTCCAAAGAAAGTGACATTCACAGGGACTAGGAGTTAGGACTTTTGATATCTTAATGGGGGACACAATTTAAGCTGTAATAGCTAGTTATCAGTGACCCATTTAAAACACATTATTTTACAATAAATGATTATATAGAAACTTTTTGCAGGTGCACAGTATGGAAGATGCCCCGAGGCTTGACACCTGAGATGGGGAGTCTAATGCAGTGACTGTTAAGCACTTTCACAGGGAGCTGCTTGGGGCCTTCTAACTCTGTATCTAATTCTCTATCAGAACAGCTGATGCCACTGTGTCCCCCCAGCATGATCCACTGAGGAACCCAGTGTATTATACAGTGTAAACTGTAAAATCTGTGCACCTCAGTTTCCACATAGGTAAAATAAGAATGTTGGGGAAAATAGTTTTCTGTCAGCTTTTAAAATTCTGTGCTTCATTGAGTTTTATATGTGGAAGAAGGGGGAAAACATATAGATAATATGTTAGGAATAAACCTCATGCCGTTTATCTGAAAACTGAAATAAATGAGTAGTTATTGTGCATTTCTACTAAAAGGTTATTTGGCTCTCTCTTCTTAGTTGTTACAGAGAATACATTTTTCTTTAATTTTTTTAATTTTTTTTTTTTGGTGAGAAAGACTGGCCCTGAGCTAATATCTGTTGCCAATCTTCCTCTTTTTGCTTAAGGACGATTTTCCCTGAGCTAACATCTGTGCCAGTCTTCCTCTATTTTGTATGTGGAATGCCACCACAGCATAGCTTGATGTGCATCCATACCTAGGATCCAAACCTGCAAACATCAGGGCACTGGATCAGAGTGCGCAAACTGAACCACTATGCCAGCCCCACGGAATACATATTTTTTCACTATAGTTTTCTTAGGCAAATAAGAAAAATTGAAATCTGAAGGTTACTTTGTAACATTCTAGAGTGGTCAGTAAGTCAATACAACCATCTTGCAACTTGTGTCCATCTTTAAAGTGGAGATGAGGCAGGCAGACACCTATGAAAATCACTTTTGCTTGACTTTTTCTTTTTACCTTCCTAAGTTTAGAGCCAGGTTCTTCCTAATTAAATTCCAAGTGTGAAACTTACACTAGATTTTGCTTTACATCAGCTAAACTAGTTGACATGTTAATAATCAAATCAGTGGATTATAGAAATCTTCTGTATCAACAGACCAGTATTAAAGATTCAGTCTTTAGTTGGAAATTCTATGATCTCATTATTGTATGCAATTTCATAGACACATACTATTTGTCACAAGACAAGTTTGCCAGCTATTAGATCTAAGTGAGCTGGGAAAGCTTCAGAAAAGGGGTTCCTTCCAAAGAAAGTAGGGATTCCTGGTCATAGAATTTCACAGCTATGAAAACTTTAGCATGCATGTTGATATTTACTTGCAAGAGGTAGCACAGTGAACTTTCTTTTTTTTCTTTTTTAAAGATTGGCACCTGAGCTAACAACTGTTGCCAATCTTTTTTTTTTTTTTTTTCTGCTTTATCTCCCCAAATCCCCCTAGTACGTAGTTGTATATCTTAGTTGCAGGTCCTTCTAGTTGTAGCATGTGGGACACCGCCTCAACATGGCCTGATGAGCGGTGCCATGTCCGTGCCCAGGATCCGAACCAGCAAAACCCTGGGCCGCCAAAGCGGAGCATGCAAATTTACCCACTCAGCCATGGGGCAGGCCCCACAGTGAACTTTCTTAATTTGCATTAGCAGTTAGGGATAAGGCAAGGACCATGATGATTTGCATTTGTTTTATTTAGTTCAATTTTCCATTCATTGAGACTTACACTGTTGAAGAAGTAAAAGTTCACCCGAGGAATAATACCAGTGCACATAATCCAGAGGAGGAGGAGCGACCGCATGAAACTGCTTCAGAAAACAGTTTTCCTTGGAATGTAGATGGCGATTTAATGGAAGTTGCATCAGAGGTCCATGTTAGGTAAGTCTAATTGTTTCATCACCTTGTGTCCAATAGACAATAGACGCAGAAAACTAATAGTATAGTGGAAGCTTTCTTCCCATAACTAGCAAGGCAGGCAGTTGGCTAATTTTTAAAAAATTAGTAAATCCAGGAAGCTTAAAAAGATATACGTACAATTTTAATAAATAAAAAAGTATAACTTTACATTTGTTCACTAACTGTTATGTAGAACCAAGGCATTGTCTTTGGTTATGAGTCTCCACATCGGCATTCTGAATTATCATTCTTCATAAACTACACAGATAACGCATGTCTACAATTTCCACTTTGGATTTTTAAAACTGGATCAAGATCTTAAACCTTGTGAAGCCGTCTTAGTAGCTGATTGTTACAATTTAATTTCCCGTCTTTTACAATATCCTTTCACCCAAAGCTAGTACATAACGCTTGTGTTCAGCAGTCTGCTTTTATTGTCCTTCTAAAGCATTCAACTTTCTTTACATAGGAGCAATTTTACATATTTAATTAAGTTACATCAGCAACAGGTGGTCTAGCCATTAAGATTCAACACTGTCATGACTGTGGCCCAGGCTTTTTCTCGGTCAGGGAACTATACCACCTGTCTGTTGGGTGTCATACTATGGTGGCTGCGTGTTGCTGGAATGCTGAAAGCCATGCCACTGGTATTTCAAATACCAGCAGTGTCACCCACGGTGGACAGTTTTCAGCGGAGCTTCTAGACTAGACAGACTAGGAATAAGGACCTGGCCACTCACTTCCAAAAAAATTGGCCGTGAAAACCCTATGAATAGCTGTGGAGCATTGTCTGATACAGAGCTGGAAGATGAGAGAATGATGCAAAAAGACTGGGCAGGGTTCCCCTCTGTTGTACACAGGGTCACTAGGAGTCAGAATAGACTCCATGTCACTAACAATAAAACAAGAGCAATTGGTATAAAACAGGTTTAGGAAGATGCAAACTCATTCTTGGTAAGTATTGTGACTCAATGGGTAGAAGTGTGCAGCGGCACCCTGGGTAGCTCAGTAGATGTGAGCTTGCTATAGGTACAACTGACTGGGTTTTACAGAGGCAGTAGAGAGCATGAGTCCAGGAGGTCAGTTAAAGCTTTATAGTAATCACTGGTGCTGAATTGATTGTAGATCTGCCATGAATGTGTGTTTGTTGGCTGTCATTAGATTTGTATTTGGTATTACGCACCATACTTGATAGGTGTATGCGTGTATGTGTGAAAAGTAACAGAATGATAGATTGATGAAAAACCAATTATACATATTATTCTTTACAGATTGCACCCAAGACTTATCAATCTTTATGGAGGAAGCATGGAAGAAATGAATGATTCCAAAGCAACATGTAATTGTTTATGAAAGAAATATGCAAACTGGAATTTTAATATGAAGGAATATAGTCATGCTTTAAACAGGTATCCTGATAGGAAAAAAAATTTTAGAAAAATTAAAATTGCTATTTTTGATGTTACTTAAAAGATATATGAAATATACCAAAAACAAATTTTGGTTTTTTAGAAGGTATTTATTAGAACTGAAAGTAAACATTGCAGGTACTTAAAATTTAAACATCAGTATATCAATTTTAACTAGATAATTCCAAAGTGAAATAATTTGGATTTTTTGATTTTTCAGGATTTGAGTCTTTCAATTCTAATGTTAAGTTTCCTATGGCCTGGTACAGACAAACCACAAGTTCACATAAGAATGCCCTGATTTTCCTGGGGAGGTGCCAATCCAGTGAGGTTAAATTTCAAAATTACACAGCTAGTTAATGATATAACCAGAAATAGAACTATTTTTTTTTTCAAAATCTCTCCAATACCTAGACTACTTGCCCAAAAAGAAACCCAATCTTTTTTTTTTAAAAGTTATGGTTCCAATTTTGTGAATCTTCTCTGAAAGTTGATTTTCTTAAAGTGGTAGGGTTTTAAAATTCATAATACAGGTAATTTAAGACTTTATAACAAATTTTATTTTAAACTGTGCAAAATATCTAACTGGGCAGAATCTGGCCTAATTGGGAGCTGTGTTCCTCTTGCTCCTGAAAGTCATGTTATCCAGCAATCTGAAATGCCATCATTTCTGAATAAGAAAGAACTAATGTTCCTCAGGGATCATCTTTGAGAAAGCGATTCTGAATTTGGGTTTGATTTTCTACCATGGATCCTACTATTTGGTTTTTTGTAATTAAAAACATGAAAATATCTTTTGCTTGAAAAAATGTTTGTTTAAAAATATTATATACATTTAATTTCTGTTAGTACACACCAATTTCAAGAGGTTTTTATGCTCATTGAGATTACGTTTTGCTGCTCAAGTGCCTTCACAAATCTCCATGCATTGCTCACTCTCCAGTCACCAATCCGAGACTGCAGGCTTGTGAATGGATAACGTACAGGAATTAGGCAGTCTGAAGAAGACAGCTGTTGGCAGGGACTTCATAGAAAGTAAAGACTGCCTTCTAATTTATCTATTTGATCACTTCCTATAACCAATTTTCAAAATTTGGCCACAACCTGCTTACATATATAAAGACAGATGTAGGACAATTCAGATGAAATTGTATTCTGCAGTTGTCAGCATCTAGTTCATATGCATGAATAAATATTACAAAAAATGATTGTATTTGCAAATGGAAAGGTCTTTAAAGATAAATTATTTAAAACCCAGAAAGAAAGTACTATAAAAAAGAATCTAAAACAACATCAACAAAAAAATTAAAATATTTCACTTATTGCTAAAACACATCCTGGAAATTTTGATGTCACATTTATATTCACAAGATACAAGCTAAATCTGTATTTTTAAATTTACAGTTAAATTCGTGAATTTTGTTTTTCTATTGACATGCAGAAGAGAATGCTTTTATAGACCTGATGAAAACATATTTAATATTTATATTTAAAGAGAAAAGAATAACATCTAAAAAGCATTTATGTATTGTTTGATTTGATAGTCAATATTTCATACAGTATCTAATTTGTATTCAATATTGGCCCCTAATCCTTGTCCTTGCAGAGCTTTGATTTTTAAAAAATCATTAGTGAGGTACAGTTTTCATATTTTATATACATCAGTATATTTATATTTCAAATATTAGCTAAAGTGCAACATTCACCATCTGTTTCAGAATATAAATTAGAATTATTAAGTACTGTTGTTTTTATAAACAAAAAATTTGACTAAAGATGGATTTTTGAAATTTATTCCTGGTTACCTTTGATAAAATTGTGTTATAGGAAGACTAATGGATTTATACCTATATAAACATATGTATATATACAGAAAGAATAAAAAACCCATAGCTGTATTAACTAATTATCCAGAAGTCATCCCATTAAGCTCAAACCAGTGTACAAGCTCAGTCTGAAGTTTGTGCATCAGGCCCCTAATGTTCATAGACTGCTGAATGAATGTCTGTTGATCAAAGCCCATAGGAAATATATTACAAATAAATGTCTTTAAAGATAAAATCTGCCTTAAAGTGATAATGCTCTTAATTAAAAATTTGGGAACAGCTCTTTGAAAAATTCTGCTAAATATTTTTAAAGAACATATTTCAAACAAGTCTCAAAAACCTATTGGAAATGAATACCTATTCAGTGGACTTTCTTTTACTGAAGCAAGAACATACGGTAAATAATATCTCTTTTAAAGGAATATTTCAAGTCCAAGACTTCTCCAATCGAGTTGTTTACTTCCTCAATGATTTAATTCAGATCCACTTTCATTTCAAGATATCTTCAAGGGATTATTTATCTTGAATAATTGAATGCTTTAGTGTTTTTCTATCCATTTAAGAGCTGAAAGATTATCTTTGAATATATTGAATAATACCTTTGCAGCTATTTTCTTTCAAAGAGTAATCATTGCTTGGATTTTTCATCTGTGTTAAGACATAATATGTCACAAGCTCACAAGTAAAAGAAGTACATAGAGGAAGTCTGAGCAAAATTCATGGTTTCTTGTAAACAATGTCTTAAATTTCTTTAGCATAACCTGAGTCTGTTATTAGTTCTCTCAATTTGAAAGAAGTCTTTAATCATCATCATTGCTTTTACTGTTCACGTAACTCCAACTGTCTCTTCGGTTTTCTTCTTGTAGGATGGATTTGTACTGTCTTTTAAAGAAGCCAACCTGAAAATAGCATTCCATAATCACTAGCGTATAGTTATGAACATATTACTCTCAAGATCAAATCTAAACAGTCAATGCCAATATTTCTTCAACTGTGTCCCATGTAGTCAGTAAAAATTAGTTTGGGAAAAACTGGGATAAAGAGCTTTTTTGTCGTTGTTACTGCAGGACTTCTCAGTGATGCACACACATGCACTCCAAAACTGATTCAACATAATTCCAAATGCTTTTTAAAAAAGAACATCTTTCAAAACTAATGTTACAGTTTGAACATTTGTTGAAAATAAGTGATCTTTAAGAAGATGTATTTCTCTAGAATGACTTTGGTACTAAAGTTAGGAAAAATGAGATCACTACTATATATTCACTTAGGAATTTAAAAAGTTAACATTAAAAATACTGAAATATATAAATCTGATAACTTAGGAGTCACAAATAGGCATTGAGAAAATCAAGAATGGCCTTTTGAATGGTTTAACATTAGTAATTATTAGAGGCTTACCTTCCACATGACATATGAAATGAATAAAAGTAAAATAAGTCCAAGTAGCAAGCTACTTGAAATAATCGCTATAGTGAAATGACGTTTGGGTCTCTGATGATGTAGTCCTTCGAGGAGAACCTACAGAAATTAACCAAAAGAACGAACCACCGGTTTAAAAGCTTGCTTCTATTTCCTTTGAAGCCCCTCCACGATCCACAATGGTATATAGAATAACCCACCCCATTCCCTGGCTGGTTCTAACACAACCCTAGGAAACACTGGTAACTGTTTAGCAGAAACAGTGAAGAGAATGGGCTTTTTTCCGTGGTTCTTCCTCCAATCATCCTGTACCAAATTCACCTCCTGAAAGACCTGTGTCATTCCTTCCTGCCACTTGTGGAAAATGTCAACTCTCAGTAAAGTATTTGCAGCGCTCCATGATAGTCAAAATCTATTTTCCTGCCTAAACACCCTAGCAATATCTTTTCCCTACAATCTTAACGTTTCAGTTAAAAAGGTAATCTTACATGCGCAACATTCTCATCCTTGTTTAGTTCAATAACTCTTGGATTTGGCTCTGGAAACGCTGTCGCTCTTATTTCAAACTTCAGTGCTGAAGTCTCATCCTGTTTAATAAAAGAAAGATCACAGTAGCCTGAGTCACAGTTTTATTTTATGAAGATATTAATAGCAGGTAAGGATCATGAGAAATGATTTCTATCTAGAGGTTTTCGCAATTTCTCTTCCCCAATTTATTTCACAATTTGCAGTCGATTGCAATGCAGTGCTTCCTTTGGTTCCAAAGGCGTGGTCTTCGTATTAATTTATAAAGCATCATTTTATTGAAACCCTTTTATTAAACATGGCTACTTTACAGATTAAATATTATAAATATTTAAATTAAGTTATTATTTGATAGTTACCAATGTATTTTTTCCTGGATATTGAATTTTTAGCCCCAAACAAGTCTTTCTTCACCTGATAAACATGTCCTTAAATTCATTTTATTTGGGATTCTTTTTCTTTCTTTCTAAATAGTGTTGTATTTTGCTGCTCTCATCAAATACATATAGTCTAATATTGCCGTGGAAAAATCTGGTACAAATAGTTATAGCATTCAAATATAAAATCAGTAGATAAACTCAGATCTTTACTGTCTAATGCAGGAACTTTATAACCCAGAATCCACAGAGCTGGGGAATCTGGTGGAGGGGCTCCCATGGACTCTAAGACCTTTTAAAATTGTATGCAACATTTAGATTTTTTCGTATGTGCATTCATTGTGCTAGATGAGAATATATTCTTTCGTCAAACTCAAAGAGGTCTATGACCCTCAAAAGTTAAATCTACTGTGTAAAGATTATTTAACATTTTAGAGAAAACGTGTAGAATTTTTAGGGCTGAAAATAAATTCCTTCCGCCAGGGATGATTTCATCCCCAGAGGACAGTCGTCAGTGTCTGGGGACATTTTCGACTGTCAGGATTTGAGAGGTGGTGCTACGAACATCTAGTGGGTAGAGGCCAGCGAAGCTGCTGAATATCCTACGATGCACAAGACAGCCCCTGACAACAAGGAATTATCTGGTCCAAAATGCCAATAGTGCCTACTATTGAGAAACCTGGACATTGAGAGCATGAGAAGGCAAACTGCAAACGTTTAGATAATTTGTTGATGGTCCCATGACGTAGTTTTTAGCACAACTGGAACTCAAACAGACATCTTTTATTTCCCTGTCTGGTGCAACTTCCTCTTGACCACTGTCTGGTACTTTCAAATATTCCTTTGGCTTGCTATGTGCCATGCACGATTAGTAGGTGTTTTATCAAATGCATCTCATTTAATTTGCAATACCCCTGCAAAGGAGATATTATCCATATTTATCAGATAAGGAAACTGAAGAACAGAATTCCAGAGAAAACCAATTTTATTTCAAAGTGCTTCTCAGAAGTATGCATATTCCTTTCTAGGAAGAAGTTGAAGATATTTAATTATTTTTAATTCAACCTTTCAAAGTTCATATTCTTAAAAGTGTGTTTTGTTATTGTATGTTTGTGTTTTATTGTTGATAAATTTTGATGTTTTAGTTTGATTTTAGGAAAGCCTTAATTTTACTTCTTAGCTTTATTAAATATTAGACTTTTAAGCATAATACAAAGTAGTTTGGAAAGAACTTTATGGTTATGTGACATGTTAAAGTAGCCAATGTCTTTGGTTTAGTCAAGTTTCATAAGCAGTTGGACATGCTTTCTAAAATAAACCTCATAAGACTGTAAAATAAGACTATGCAATAATTACCTGTTTAATGAATAAAGCCATGTCATTTAGACAATGTATTTAGCTAAAGCGATAAGTGGAAACAGTTTCAAGTTTCACTCCAAATTTTTCTTTCAGCCATACCTTCTCAATTTGTTGAATGCCTCCTTACACACCAGCCTATCTATATAAGATGGTTGAGTTTGTAGATTCGATATAAACTTATCCATATAGAAAGTTGTCACTGTATTTTAGACTTACCATTTCTAAAATGGATGGCCGGCCTTCCAGCTGAACATGAACACTGGCTTCTTTTCCACTTTCCATTTT